TTAAAGTGATTTGATTTAATTTTTGAGTGCCAAATAATTAATCCAACAGTGACCGTGCAATTTCACGTTTCAACTCAGAGTGTTCCGTCTTCATTATCTTTCTGCCGTCATACCACCGAGACAAATTTACGTCTTGATCTATTTATAATTGCTTAACATACAAACTGTCTAATTGTAAATATTGTTATGCAGCGACATTGGTAATATAAATCGCATCAGATGTTTTTCCGAATCGTATCTAAATCACCTCTCTCACGGTTCTATTCTACAACGTCTATCATTTGTAGAGCTAGTGTATCAAGGAAGTCAATTTTCAGACTAAACAATGCATGTAGGAAGTATACTTATCGGTATGATACTCCCCACACAAATAGGCTATTAACTATATATCCACTTGGATTGTGCAATATTTTCGTTAGTCTCTAGGTTGCGTCTACGCATTACCGCGAGCTTAACACGCTTCGTAATGCGATGTCTACCCCAACCAATCCTTGCTCATTTAATGACGTGTATCCATTTATAATAACGCGAAATCTCATTTTGACTAGACACTTGTACACTGTAAGAATGAGTGGAATGTATGCGACATTTTAGTGTTTCATGTAGATAAACTAAACTCTTTTACGTCATCGCGCTAATCTTCACATGATTCTACTAACGAATCATCAATACTAATGAAGACACAAACATTTCTTTTGTCTTAGCCAATTAATCATTTATTATAGTCCGTGAATATTATTTTCTTTCCTTTTCCTGCCCTATCTGGACCAATTTTTACTATTTGCACTTAATAGATATTTTCAATTTCGCCTTTTTTGCAACTAAGATAGATACTATAACTTCTTAGAGTATCCTTGTTCATTTTGCTTTTCCTGCCAATCGAAATGAAGGTTTTGTCTGATTGCTATGCTAAAACCTATAGACCCTTGAATTTTTATGTTTCATACATAATTCGCAATGTGTATTAGCAAATTGGACACTATTAAAGCAACATAAATTCAGAATTGCTTCAGGAATATCTGTTCAACTTACATACATATTTAGGAATGGCTATATTGCTTTGCATTTTACTAAGTTTATCTCAATGAATAATTACACATGAGATTAGTTAATCGGATTTATAGCGCAATAAGTCCTTTCTCTGTATCAATAAATGCCGCACAAATTAGGATTGGGCAAAATCAAAATAAATAATCAATATGTATAAGTTAATATTTATAGTCAACCCTAATTTTTTACTCTATATTTTTTTTTGATTATTCAATCAAAAAATCTCCGAATATTGTTTCTACCATTTACTGAGAAGCCTGTACGCATTTTAAGCATCCGGGCGCAAATCGCGAACTCACGTTCTTTATACATGTTATGCTGAAAGATGAATATATCATAGTTGTTATCTCATACTTATCCTTGCTTATCTGACATTCAGTTCACATAAAACTTTCTGATCAAAAATTATGTTCCTGCTATGGTTTTATTTTCCTTGGACTTTCAGTTTGACGCAGGACAAATCGTTTTGAACCTATCATAATAGATAACTATAGCTTATCGAGCAATATGCGACTTACCTTCTGATTAATCAGATAAGGTTGGTAATTGTATTGAGACGTAAGATTTCAGTTAAATCCATTAATTACGATACCTCATTAAAAGTAGTTTAAGAGAAATTATATGACATCATAAAGCGTTCTATTCATTTCATTTTGGCCAGACTATAGTAAATATCTTTGGTAGTATTATGTTTCTACACTATGGGTAAATCATCTATAAGTATTTGAGTTATCCTTAATGTGACTTGCCTTGTAAGTCGCATCTGACTTATGGCATATTGACTCACAGAGTTTTGTGATGTTGCGGTATATGTTTACTACTTTGTGTGCACGTTCCAATTTTTAAATATTTTTAGGATTATGAAACTTAGGTAAAGTTAAATCTGAAGTTCATTCTGAATGAAAAAGCCTTGGAAGGTTCTTGCAGCAGTGATTCACAATTCGTGAATTATACTCATGTCACCGTAATAAAATTAAATATCTTTCGTAAAAACATCTTGAGCAATTAAGGATTAAAAAAAGTTATTTTTAATAGAACTATATTTCTCATAATGCATAAGTAGTAGAGTAACTTAAAGGTTGAATTGTAGAACAATAAAATTTTACTATTTGTTATGCGATTGCTATCTTGACTCCCATCCTTGTTGTAGCAAATATACGTTTGCTATCTGAAATTCAAAGAAAAAGTCAGCTCTATTCATATCATTGTGGGAAAATTCTACTACCTGTCCTTTATCACCTTAATCAAAATAGGCTGAATACATCTCTTAAAACTGATTTACTGTTAGTCTCGAAACTCTACTCAAATACGAAAAATAAATACAAATCATTCAATGCTTTCATCAAATTACCCATTTTCACCCTCATTTCAAATACGAGCTGTGCACATTTTCTCATCCTTGAGTTAAGTTTCAAAATTATACTTCATGCCTATAACTTAATTTGGCATCTATTTTAATTACGCGCTACCAACTCACACAAAATTCTTTGATATTTAATAGGATTTATCCTCTAGTTAGATATTTCAAAATGCATCTTAGTTAGTGTAACTAGTCTTTATCAGTGACACTGAGTCAAGGCGAAATCTCCCTATAAATCACATAATATGCACTAGAAAGTCCATAGCTTTATGTGGTAGGCATGTTTACTTCGGGCTAGAGACCCCCTCGCCATATCATCATGCAAAATATCTGTACATCATTTTCACGAAGCATGTTCATTAACTTGATCTCGTCAGCATTTGGTCTAAACAACACATTATATCCATCTATACATACATTATAGAATATCTTCAAGCTTTTTAGTGGAAGATTTTGCCTAGACAACCGACATAAAGTAACATTAAAGTAGCAAATCTGATTACAAAAGGCTTATACAGTTAATAATTGGAAATTATAATAATAGCATCAATCTAGTAAATAATAACAGTTTTGGCGGAGACTAGTTGAGGCTAGAACATTTAACATGTTTGGACCAAATCGTTATTAATTATTATGCTCGATATATCTAAGGATCTGAAAGGTTAGGTAGAGTTGAAAGCTATTTTTAAAGGAAATATTACACTAATTGCTAACGCTTATTTTAAAAAGACAAGATCAGTTATCAAGCTTGTAATGATAGTCCCGAAAACTTATTTATATAAAAAAATTGGATTCTATTTATTCTTCAAAAGGTGTTCAAATACAAAAAATATCATAGAATCATTGGGGTAAAGTGGTCAGATGTGACTGAGTACATTGCTGAAACTAATAATTTGTTAGAATGGCCTTAAAGTCATTGGTTTGCTGATTATGGTTTACTTGCTGCTAAGCTCAATATAAAAGAGAAACTTTGAAGCCAATATATTATGAATGTATGGAATAAAGGTAGGAAATTGACAAAGAACCACATGGCTTGATTGATGCTTATGTATAAAGAGGGTAATAAGCACCCTCTAAGAAGGCTACAAAATTTAGCTAGTCGGTTTTTGTTTCAATAATATTCAGGCACTCAACACATTTTTAGTTGTTAAGTGGGTTTGCGATTGCTATCGGTCCTATATAACCTCAACGAAATAAGGTGAATATATATCATATACTCAACGCACATTTTTTCGAAGCCTTGAGCTCATCGGCTCAATCAAATGCATGGCCAGTATTTTGCGATAATATTGATATGATTAAATTGGTCAAAAAATACTATTAACCTTGCTGTTTAATAATAACATGCAGCCATTAATGCTTACAATTCATAAGGGTAAATGTGTTTACGATCGTTGATAAAAGTATATATAGTATTTATCAATTTAAATAGCTAGTCTTCATTTTTTACCAATGAGTATATTTTTCTCTAAATTATCTCTTAGCAATTATTGTTAAATGAATAACTTAAGTTACGTTTAAGTTAGATTGATTTAGATTATTCATTTGCAAAACTCGAAATATTGCTGATACCAGATAAAAAGAGTATTTAATATCCAATCATTTTACTTTCTAGCATTTCCATCTTTATATGAATTTTAAAAATTCATTGCTTTGCCATAATGTCTGAATCTACACCTCTTAAAGGACAAGTTATTCCTAATATAAAGAGATCAAGCAAAGGTAAATTGTTTAGGCAGCAAGCTGACCACCTCTCAGATAGCCATTAATTTAATAAATCGTGAATCATGCATTAGACGTTGCTTTGTTTTTGCTTTCATATTATTTAGTGAATCATCCTCCTATATTGGAATCAAAGCAAAATGTGATAAATCGTCATCTCGTGGGCATGGTCAAGTATTTTCTTTATAAAGTCTTACTAATATTGAGGATCCTGAGGCCATATTAGTTAGGCTGGCCCTTGCGATTTTTCCCGACTTTGTTTTAGGCAGGCCAGGAACAATGCAGGCACCTGCTAGTTTTGCAATAGAGCCAATCCTCTGGCGAACGAGAAGTTTCACGCCCTCAATCACCTCCTCATGCAACGTGGTAGAGAGCATGTCTAAAACCAGAATCGCGTACGGCTCTTGGCCTGATAATCAAAGGAGAGGTAGGATGCACAAAGAAAAAGAAAGGCTAGATTCAATGGATTATGACAAGGGAAGAATCTTTTTCTTCGAAACTAATTGTTTTTATCTCCTCATTCTGAAACATGTAAACATTATTTGCTAATTTCGATACAGGTGAAAGGCATTCATAGATTGGCCTCCCCGGATACCGAAGAAGAATTACATTGGACTTTTGTTTGCTGAATTGTGCGAAGAAGACCTCGGCTCATCGTCCTATGACCCCAATGACTCCGTGTGGAGCTTTCTTCCGTCATGTGACGGACATCATCCGAGCCAGAAACCATTATTCACGAGCAATAACCAAAAACACTGAACAAAGTAAGGTGGAAGGCTGAGCTACCACTTACTTCTTAAACTTCACTTTGCGATCTTAATTAGGCATTCCATGAGTTGATTAGCTGTCTTATGCCCGTCCTGCATACCCGTAAACGAATGAAAGTGATGCAGGAAAAGAAGCGGAGCCTTTGTCTATGTAACTAAACTAGCGTATGATCATGTTATCCTAGCTGCCTTGATGAGTGTGTTTTGTGTGTATGTAACGCTCACGAGTTGGTTGGCAATTTTGGGTCCTAAATTAGAATCCAGCTTAGTCAAGTATTCTCCTTTTATTCTGTGGTTTTTCTTGTTCCCTTTTCTTTTTTTCCCTCTTTCTCTCTCTATCTCGAATTCTATTCTAGAATCTGGTCTCAGACCCAAAATTGTCAACCAAATCGTAAGTGTTGCATACACACAACACACACACATCCACTCAGCTAAACCAAGTCCTAGGGTTACATGATCATATACTAATTTATTTACATAGAC